AAAATGTGATTATTTTTTGTCCTTATCAAAGGAGATATGTACTTTGAAACCATCTTATAATAACATACAAGATAATACTCTTAATTGTATTATGGTATAAAAGACTTTAGGTATAAATGTTAGACCTCTGACCAAGTAGGTTCTTCTTCTGGCAGCTAAGATAATAATAGGATAGGATTAAATAGGTTTAGATACTACTTCTGCTTTATAATTCCAAACTAAAACCATGTTCCTTAAATTGTTAGACCAAAATTAACCACTGAATTGTAATTAAATGTCTCAACATTTTGTTAGGATTTATTTCTCCTCAAAAACTCTAGCAAATTTTCCTCACTATACTTAATCAGAATCATTCTTAATTAGACTCCTTTAGTTTCCTTTGAATTAATGCCTGGCACAAATGAATTCTTGAGAAACTTGACCGTAAATACTACACATCTTTGATGTGGCAAAGCAGATAAAAAAGCCATTCTTTATTCATTTACCACGCCCATTGCCACATCGCCAGCCAAAAAAAAATGTTGCGTTTGGCAAGCAACGATGACTTCGAGAAGCGTAGAAAAATCTCAGCTCTTTGGTCATGAAGGTCGCCTTATTAACACATAAACCATAAAAGCCAAAAACCGTAGGCACATGTTTGGCCAAAACAAGAACAGCAACAGCGAAAATCTTCATGGCCTGCCTGCTGCTGGCTGCTGCCTGCTTAGAATTGCCCACATGTGTGTCACGTCACGGCAGACGACAATGCGCCGCAACAGATACTCGAATGCTCGGATACAGAGATACAGATACTCGGCCACAGACACTCAGATACTTTTTGCATGTGCTCACGAGCATGTGTAGAACACACAGCGTCGACGACGGGACGGGACGGACCCGTGAACTGGGCTTGTTTTCGCCATATGTGATGGGGAAAAAAAAAAAACAAAATAAATGTTTAGGCGGACTCTGTCGTGAAAATCTTTGCTCAACAGAATTTTTGAATAGTCGTCAATGGATGTCGGTGCGGTACGGGCTGATCTTAACCACTGCGGTCTCAGTCGAAAATCAAACGAAAAAAAACGACAAACTCTTGAAAGGATTTCATTGTTAAATGCTTCTCAAACGAGTCAAGCCTTGGACTATTTGCGGATTATTTTAAATATTTTATCTCGTTGAAATCGAGATGATTTTCCCAACGGATTTGCATTGGGTAAGCAAACGACATATTGAAAGGCAACTTTCAACTCTTAGTTGACTTTCAATTAAAACAGAGCAAACATTTGAACGTCGAATATTTTCCTTTGGTTTTTTGTTGCCTTTTCCAATTGTTTCAACATGACTTGTGTTGGCAAATTGAATTTCATTTTCATTTGCGGATTATATTTGACTTTTGCTCAACATTCACAAAGAGAGGCCGTTGTTTTCCCTCGGTTTAATATTTTTTTACTTTACTTTCCTGCCTTTTGATGTTAACTCATCCAACGAGCAGCAAAGTCATAAATACTTTCTGTGCTCTCAACTGGCAAAAGAGAAAAAATATTTATTAAATAAAAAGCAACTCCTGGCCCACCTTTTCGCCTTTCCTTTCCTTTTCCCCGGCTTCGAGCCCAACTTCCCTTAGATTTCCAGCTGTTGCACAAAATTTTCACTTTGTGTGTTCTTTTCACTGAACCCGAGCCAAAGCTAAAAAGTAGTTTTGTGTCTAAGTATGTATGTGTGTGCGCATAATTAAATTAAAAAACTTTTTTTGTTGTAAAAGTCATTGACTCAAAGGCAGAGAGGCTTTAAAAGTTTTTTTTACAAACTGTAATTGCTTTAAGAGTGGGGGAAATATATAGAAAATATGAATGGAGAGGGATTAGGGGAAAGAGGATAATTAAAGCTGAATTATTAAACAATTATATATATTTTGAAATTTGACTTAACTCTAGTCACAAAAATATATTCAATTAAAATTGTTTAATAGATATTTAAATCTAATATATATTCTTCTTCTGTATTTAAATCATTGACTTGATAACTTGTTAACTTTTTATGCCTTTCGTCAAACAAATTATGACTTCATTCACTAAAAAACCCAACCGAAATTAAACATAATTTAGTATTGAAATAAATTGAATTCAATTTTAATTTTCGTCACGTTTTGAACATGTAAATAAAATTCCCGAAACGTGGAACATTTTCAGGGCCCCCATGGACATGGTTTTTTGGGGCCAACGGAAATAAGGCATATAATTATGGAATATACACATAAATACATACATATGTAGGCGTGGGTTTTTTTGGGCTTTCTAGGAAATTTTCCACATTTTATGACAAATGTGTGAGATTTTGCATGGGTATTGCCTGATTACACGAAGGGAAATCGTTATAAATCACTCCAGTGGGATGCCCAATAAATTGGGAACAACTTGCGGATGGAACTCTCAATGGTGGTGGTGGTGGTGATGGTGATGGTGATGATGATGACACATTTGGGCTGGGTGAACGGAAATCAAGAGACAAACTGAGCAATTAACAATTCATAAGTGTCTGAAGAGCCAGCAGCAGCAGGTTCTGTGTGTTGGCGTCACACACAATACTGGCTGGGTGTGTGTGAATCCATCAAAACTGAGATTTTTTCTGTCCTGAGCCATAAAAGGGGGCGCCCGACCTGGCCAAGTAATTATATAAGCCCAGTTGCAGGCAATCAAAACGAAATACCAGAGATATATATATATTTTTTACCACTGCGGTAAAACTGGCAGCATAAATAATCAAGCGAAGAAAAGGAATTTTCAGCAGTTGCTAAAGTTTTCACACACACACAGGGGAAATAATGACATGAAATGCAATCAAAATGAGGGCATTAAGCCATTGAAGTCATGTCTGTATGTGGCTTACACAATTGCCCCGAAAGGCGCACTGCACACACACAAAAAACTACGTCATCTTTTTCCATATTAATTAACAATAAAAAAATGTCTGGCAAAAACTGCAAACAAAGTTTACTTGGCTTATGGAAACTTAAATAACTTTGCTGATCTCTTTGTGTGTTCTTTGTTGTATTTCCTTAATGCTCGAAATGCAAGCCTTGCCTTGCTAATTAAAAATACATTTATTTATTTAAATTACTGTTTAAACAAAGATAAAGCATGATAATTTATCTCCAACAAGGCAAATAGGTAGCTAAACTGAAAAAGATAAAGTCAGAGGGAAAAAGGTAAATAGAGGTAGGTCTTGTTGATGATAAAGATATCTCTTATTGTTAGTAAAGTAATCTAAAGTTTATAATTTCAACTTTTTTACCTCTCGTTAGCCATTGATTTGACACACAATTCCATTTAATTTGGTGGAAAAAAAAACCCACAAATACAGCTAAGAAGTGCATTATCCGCCCACAGCAGAACATAAAAAACCGCAACAAAATTGGGGCCCCAAGAATTTCGAAAAGCAAACTCATTTTCTTCATTAACTGAAATTGTTGCAGCACGTTTCGTCCTTTCTCTTTTACTTGGAGTACCTCGGTCTCTGTTCTTCTCCGGGCACACAATAGTTTTTAATGCGCCAAATTAAGTTTCAGCTGAATTTCTGTTTTTTTTGTAGCACAAAGTTCTTGCCGCCTCCCTTTTGCTGCGAATTGTCCGCCACAAAACTCTTTCTTTCTTCTCCGCCATTTTAGCCATTTCAGTCGCGTTTTCTCCCCTGTCGTCTTGACCATATTGGGCCGGCAGCCCGGCTTTTGTCCGCCTGGAGAACTCGTGACTAACATTAATTTGAGCAGAACTGGCTAAGAACTTCATTCCATTTATAGGATAGAGCGATGGTCCCGGGCAGATAAAACAAGAAAAGTATCTTCAATTTCAGCGGCCAGAGATTTATTGCCTCGTTTCGGGCATTTGCCAGATTTTTGTTTTGGGCCGAAAATTGTTTCTGCCACTTTGGTGGAGCTACCCAAACAGATTCAGTGCCGCCGCTTCGTCTCAATTATAATTCGATTTTCGCTTCACGCTTTTGTCAATTCACAAATCGCAAATAAAACGACCCGTTAGCATTTTGATAGATTTTTTCATTTATTGTTTTGTTTCGACAGTGGCTCTTGCCTCCGGGCATTCGAGCATCTCATTAACTTTTCGGATGGCTGCGATTCGATTCGTTTCGAGTCCAAGTTTTGGCTTTTTATGTCTACGAAATGTTTGACATTCCTTTTGGTGGGGACAAAAAGCTGTTGATTCGCCAAAGGGGTCGGTGAATAAAGTTCAAATTGAGTTATTAAATTGGTTTCGGAATGTTTGAATGTTTATTTAAGTATATTTTGAACTCTGAAGAAAGTTTGTTTGGAAATAGGGTTATTATTTTGTTAATATTTATATTTAATTTAAAAATACTTGATCTATTCATATTTTAAATCCTAATCTCTGAATCATAACCACATCTATTGATCTTTAATGATCTTTATTCTTCAATACCAAATTAATCCAGCAACCGCAAAAAGCACATTCAGCTGCAGATACATGATAATTACGCAGGATAAACCAGGACGCGCCAGCGTGCAACATTTGTTAATGTAAAATATTATAACACTATGGTTGATAATAAATTGCCTTAATGCTCATAAAGCCAAAACAACAAACCGCACGGCAACAAACAGAATTTATGGCAGAGTAATGGTACAAGTCGACGGGGTTTGGGTCTTAAAGGGGGTCCAGAGGGCGTTGGGGTTGAAAAGTGGCGCAAGTGGCAGCGTTTTTAAAGCAACATTAATCATGGGCTCACGAGAGTGCCTCGCTTTCTCCACCAGCTCCTCCTACTCCCCCGCCTCATGTCTAGTGTGTGGGAAATTGGCTTTTTCATGCCGGCGTTGCGTTCTTTTTTTTAATAATTTATAAAAGAATTTACGAGCAAAACAGCTGAGGCATAGAAATGCGTTAACTATACTCCCACATACAGGCAAAAATATTCCCATAATTAAATTTGAAGAATGCACAATCAGCAACAATTTCACCAACTCTCTCTCTCTCTCTTCTCGACTTTTGCAGCAATCCTTGCTGGCAGGACGCATTCCGGTGGCCTCCATGACAGGACCCATTAAGCGTGGACTGCTCTGGCAGCAAAGGGATCGTCTCTTTTCCCGCTGGAAGGAACGGTGAGTACACTGAGATCAATACTTTTGTATTTATTAAAGCTTGAACATTTAAATTATATAATTTTCCCTACAACTATTTGGTTTTTAAATGTTACAAATATTTTTCTCTTATTTTCTTAACATATTTTCTCAAAAAACATTGCTAAAATCGTTACTTCGAAGCTTTTAATTTTAAATTAATGATAAATTGTAATAAATACATTTTTAAAATTTGTAATTTACATAATTAATAATGCCAAGCTAACCATTCTTCCTGTGCACTCGAGTGGGGATGCATAAATGTTAAGCGCTTTTAAATTTACCTCCACCGCAATCTGCATTCTGTGCTTCAGCCAGATATGGACGTGGACAACGCCCCCTCTCATCGGTGCGGGACCCCCGACCCCCGTGAAATATGCAAAAATATTTCCCAACCACCGAGAGGGGTTGTTAATTGCGAAAAAGGGCATAATTGACAGTGGCTGCTGCATGCTCGTCCTTTTGCCAGATAATGCTAATAGGGGGAAATCGGGCAAAGGGAATCCGACTGACGGCTCTTTTGTTTATATTTTCCACTCCCTGCTGCATTTAATTGAAATTTAATTATGTTGCAATGCAATTCGGTGTTTTAGTTTGACTTTCGGCTCTTTTGGCACTTTGAACCGATAATTACGTTCATCGCTTATCATTTTATCATTTTCGGTGCATTTTTAATTGACACTTAAAGACCAACTAAGCCCGTGGGATTTGGTTGGCCAATATTTACTTTTCATGTTTGTTATAATTAAAATTATCATTTAATAAATGTAAGTGATGGTAATTAAGTTTGGAGATTTGTGGAAATATTTTTGAAATAATTTATTAATTTTTGACACTTGATTTGCTTAAAATTAAGCACGAAAAAATAGTTTTATTGTTGTTAAGTTCCAAGTAATCAATATGAAACTAAAATTTCAAGCAAATTTAACCAATCCAAAAGGCTCTTATTTTATTCAAGAACTAGTTTAATGGAAGAAATACATTATAAAAACAATAAAACTTTTAAAGAAATTTATGTTATAATAAAAGTTATTATAACTTTCATTAACCCAATAATTCTTGAAACCCCTGTCTATGGCTAGATTCTCCACACCCATTCAGGCCAAATAATTAGTTGGTTGCATGCCTTCACCATTTACCAAGCTCAACTAATAACAGAACCGATCATTATCTCCCAAGGAAAGCCCCTCCCCTCTGCTACTTCGCGGAGCCACCCACCGAAGCAAACCGAGAAACCCACAAAAGCGTTTAACTCTTCCGTGGAACTAAACAACAAACAATTTTCTTTCGCTCAATTTGCTTGACCACGTTAATAAGCAAACCAAAATGAGAACTTCCATCAGGGAAGTGAGCCATTATCCAATCCGAAAATCATTTCAAATGTCTAAGCCTGAGAACTTTTTGGATATATTTCCAACTTATTAAAAAATGTATGAGGCTGGGATTTATGTGCAGCGAAAAAATGCTGGGCACATTATTAAAACCGATTTTCATTGCTGCAAAGCGATAAAATCAAAAAATAATAATATTATTATTATTATCGTCTTGAGGAAGTCATAAAACTTGAGGCACGGATTTCTTTTACATACTTTTTATTCATCTTCTTAAAGATATATATACATTTTTTTTTGCGCATGATTTATGATTTATTAATAACATATCCGAAAATGCCATCAAGGGGGAAGGGCTCCGCTCCAGCCAACACAATTGATGGCAATTTGTGTATTGGAAAGTACTGTTTGATGATTGCCGGATTTGGGCTTGACCTTTAACTGAGGACTGCCATCCGATATTTGTACATTTAAAGGTCACCACCACTTGGCTGGTGAACGGATTTGCAGTGACTAAAGCCAATCTCCTACTCTTTCAGATACTTTGTGCTCACGCGTGACTACTTGCACTGCTTCAAAAGAGCCTCTGGTTCAGCCAACGAACGGGCCTCGGATATGGGACAGTTTATCTTTAAGGTAAGTGAAAAATTAAAGTTTATTAAATTAACATATTTCCCCTCTTACAATAATCTATCTCCCACTTGAAGTGTCAAGCCAACTTTTTTATTTGCTGCTCATTGTGCCAAGTTGTATTGCAGCCAGAGCTAGAGATTTATGCCCAGCATTATAATCAAACCCATGACTATATAGATCTCATGAAGGAGGGTGGCATACAAGGGGGCTAGGACACACCTTTCGGCTTATAAATGAAGTCTTTTTCGGTTGACAATGCCAGACACATCGAGTCACGTTTTGCAATTGACTTTTCAGTTGGATAGATGAAAGATATCAGTCCGTGTAGGGGGGTCTCTATTGATAGGCAATCTGCAATTGAAATCCGTCTGGGAGACTCTATTTTCTGTTTTTACAAACAAATCGTGAAGGGGAAGAGAAAAACTAAATCCAACTTTGGCTAAGCTCAACTAATTGGCTAAAACTTGCATCTACTGCATGTTAATTTGCCCAACTATTTGCTCCACTCCATTCCGCTTCCATCTAGGATGGGGACTTCCCGCTCCCCAGACTTGTGTTCGAGTGCCTCTCCTCTTAACTTTGCGATGAAAAACAAAGCAAATAAGAGAAATACTGAAGGCAAGCGGACAAATATTGCACACAGGCAGCAACAAAACGCACAAACAGGAACCACTGCAATAGCAACAACAACTCCCCAAAAGCAAAAACACTATAGTTTTCAATGGGAAATGGTCGAAATTTGAATGCTCTATGGGATTGAATATAAATAAGAAGGGAGTTCTTGGAAAAGAAATATTTTTGTTACAAAAATATATTAAAGAAAATATTTTTTAACATCAAAAACTCTTTTTAGCGAGTCTAATTACTGTTTATTTAAATTTAATTATTATTATTAATTTATTAAATATTATTTTAAAGTGTCGCCCAAGAGTACAGTGAACTCTGCAGCAATATACAATGTGATGCCCAAAAGTAGGCAATTCTTTTCGCAGCTGAAAACCTGCTATATCATAATAGGGGCCACAAAATACAAAATTCTTTCCCATAAAATGAATATATAATTTTTCTTTATTTTAATTAAGCTCAAATAATTATTAGCCTCAGTTTCTAAAATTTTTAGCTACTAAAATATATCCCCAAAAATTCAGTTATTTTATTTAACATTGTTAAATCTCCCACTGGACCCCATTACCATTCAGTTAAAGCTAACAATAGTCAGAGTATTTAACACACGATTGCCGTGAAATTGTTCATTGCCTCAGCTGATGCTGGTCGTAGTTGTTGGCTATGACATTAATGCTGTAGTTGTTTTTGTTGCTGTTTAAACAAATAAGGAAAATGCACATAAAACTGCTGCTGCAACGAAAGAGATCATGGGAAAATTACTTTTTAGTTTTTTTTTTTTCTCTCTGACTTCCCCTCCCGTTTTTCGTTGAATTAAATTTTATTTCGTTTTTTTGTTGGCACTTTTCTGCTAAAATCTCTCTTAAAAGCAGTGTCAATACACAGAGATACAATGCCACCGGCAGCAGGTTGTTGTTGTTTACAGTTTAATTTTAAATTAAAATACATTTTTTTTTTCGTCTTCTTGCAAATAAAACAAAGTGAAAAACGCTCTCGTTGTTGTGCGGGCAATTTTCCAAAGTAAATAAGCAGAAATGAGGAAAAGAACGCAGGCAGGGGACTGTGAAAAGCAGACACGGGGGAAAATAATGACATAGGTGGAACTAAATGCTGAAAAATCCCGCACCGTGCGGGAGATTAACTTATTTAATGCGAGGGAAAACATTTATAAAGAAATTACGAACAGGAATTCGTTCAACTAGAAAAGAATTGGAAAATTGGTTTCACAAAAATTGTGATTTTTATTCGAAAAACCAACTGAGAAGCCAATGCAATATTTCAGCTATTTTCCCAGCCACTATTAAATCAAATAAACAGCCAGCAAGTAGTATTGACCTTCGGACCAAATAAATTTTCTACCAAAAATGGTCAGAAGCGTAGCACCCACACGCGCCTAAGCGGCCATGAACGAGTCACTGAACAAAAAAAATATAAATCAGAAAATGTCTTTGATTTTGAGTCATTAGGAAGGCGGCATCTCATTTGATCGTTTTTTTGCATTCACTTATGTTTCATCGACACTAAAAAGATTCAATAACGCCCAAGCCCAGTGTAATCACATTAATCAATTAGGCTATAAAAAAAATAAGAGTCTCTCAGGTCTCTCTGTCTAATTGTTTAATTTGATTTTGCATAAAATTTGCCATCATTCCTCTGACGAGTAGAGAGATGAAACGAAAAATACCTGGGGGAAATCAATCGAGCATAATTACAGGTGATGAAAGTGGGTGGAGGCTGTTACTAATACCGATACCTGCGGGTTTGCAAAGTTTTCCTGCCTGAGAATTTTGCAGCTTTGCACTTTGACAGTGATTGAAAGCGATATTGATTTTTGTCTCCCCCTCCCGTGTGGGTGGAAAATGAGCCTGGGGAAATGCAATTTCCGTCTGCTGAACGTTAATGAGCATTATTAATTGGGTTGCAATGAAGTGCAACTCGGGATACTGAAGCTAAAGTGTTTATTAATATTCAGTTTCTCTGATTAAAAATTTAAAGAAAATCAAAGATGAATTCTAAGCTTGGTTAGTATTTAAAGTAAATCAGAACTGTCCAAATAAAAGCACAAACTAAACACGAATTGGCACTTAAAAATGACTATAATCCCCTTCAAATAAACCCTTATAAAGCACTCCTTTAAATTAATTATATCGAAATCTATAGCCCCTATCTGTTGATTATATTTAACCTTAAAGCCGCCACGCGTATCATTTCAATTAGACTTTCGCAAATAAAAAAAAAACTAAGCTGCAATGTTAAAATATCTGTACCAATTGCCCAGTGCGTTGAGCTTTTGTGTTAGTTTTGACAGCTCATGCTATTAGCCATGTCAAAATATGAAACGGCAGGCGGCAACAATGGAATTTGTTCATAAAACTCATAAATAACAATAATAAATAATAACAGGCGAGCCAAACCAGCCGATCAATATCGACCTTGAGCCCATGATTTGTTAACCAAAACGTAAAGCGGAAATTTGGAAAATATATAGCCATCGATTGGCACATTTTGGAGAGTGTGAGGTCAGAGTTGCGAAGGGGAAAGAGGTCAAATCGAGGCAAAAGTTAAGAAAGTTTCAACGGAAAAAAAAACCAATGCAAAGCACGAAAATGAAATATCGAAGCATATATAAGTTCCAGGGAATGTCAAACCCAATGAATATTAATTTTGTGTAAAGTATATTGAGCAACAAACTAAATTCTCTTCAAAAGATACATATTTATTTATAAACGCCTCTATCTAAAGACTTTCCTAAACGCTCTCCGCTTGTAATCTGGCATATTTTTCTTTGGGATTATCATGGAATATCATAAATATGTTAATTTGATGTATTTCTTGCTGGTTTACGCCCACACAGAGCACTTAGGTTGTACGACTCCCAGGAGAGTATCCATTTTGATCTTTGATCGCGACAAGAACAAATCCCCAGCGATTCATCCATCAAAGCTCTCTGTGCGATATTCCATATTCCATCTGCTGCCTCGGCGATATATATCATAAAAAGCGATCGCTTAAAGAACTTAATTATGTTGGCCATTAGACGGAGAGAGAGGCAGAGCGAGCCCAGAGATGAAATAAATAAAGAAGAAAGAGCCGGGAAAACTTACAGGGGCCGCATAACTTGGCTAATTGCCACACGCTCCTCGGCTTCTGGCTTTTTCCCCTCGCTACATTCTGGCCAGGGCCTGCTGACATATTTGCCTAATGGCCTCCACATAGTTCTTGGCCATAAGCGAGAGAGATGGCAGCCCCGATGAATCGGTGGCAAACTTTAAGTTTTACCCCATAAACAAAAAAAACAACAGAAATAAGTTCAATAAAAACTTCCGCATGGTGAAAAAGTTTGCGGTTCGCTGCAGGGCTGCCTCCTGGCCTAATGACTTTTAACCGAGTTGCAAAATGCACAGGCAACGAGGCCAGAGACTAGACCGAAGCCCAGGCCCTGTCACTTAATTGGTGCATTATTCAGAAAAAGTTGTTAGAACAGAAAGTTCTTACTCTAAATAAGTGTGCGGCCATTTATTTTAGTTAGTTAAGAAATAAAATAAAGCTGATAGTATTGGAAGTAGTTCAGTGAACTTTAAACTCTAGATACTTTAATTATTTACCAACCTAAACATATTTAATATATGTTTTATAGCCATTTGTTCTTTAACCATCTGAAATGAACCCCCAGAGACCTCTTTCCCACTGCGGGCAAATCTTTTTGTTTAACATTCAGCGGAAAAACGTTTACATAACCTTTAACTTGATTGTCTAACCAATTGGCATTGTCTTTTTGTTTTTGCGGTTTCGCTCCAGGTCAAGCTGGTGGATGTGGAGAAGGTGGAGTGGCTGAATCGTCGCTCCTACAGCGCCATTGGACTGCTACTGGGGCGCGAGGGTCGCGTTCTCCTCCGCTGCGACGATGGCCTCGAGGACTGGTTCGAGCTTTTGGAGGTAAGTGGCCATGGAATATGTACAAATTCTGGTGAATTTTTATGGCTGAGTCTTTAAAACAACGTTTTCTTTGGGAAAATCTAAAACAAACTAAAACAAATAAATCTACTTATTTCCAGGAGTGCACCATGACCTCCAAGGAGCGAAGGCGAGCCCTGAAGATCGCCCAGGGACCCAGATCACGTGCCTCCTTGGCTGCCCCCGTGTCCCATGCCTCACTGCAGTTCCAGCACTTTGGTCTGGGAGGCACTTACTCGAGTGCCTTGGATGACTGGCTGATGACCAATGGAACTGGCGGTGGCTTGGCTCGACACAAAATCGGAGCCGGCAGCCTTAATGGCTATGCCGGAGCCAATCCCTTCTTATTCTCCGATTCCGTACCGGATCTGAGCGCCCTGAACAACGAGAACCACAATCACCATCTGAGCGGCATCAGCACGAACCACTCGACGCCGCAGAAGATTCCGCATCACAGCAACGCGAATCTCAGCCGCTACTCGAATGGTTATGTCTCGGCCCAGAATAGCTTCAGCCAGGGCGGAGCTCTGTATGGTTCACCACGAAGGATCTTCATCAACAGCAGCTTCGGGTCCAACCAGGTGGTGGACGAGGAGACGGAGGAGGCGGAGGTGCAGCTGAGGCGGCCCCGGCTCTTCCGGGGAGTAAGCGCCACGCCGGACAATGGCAACGAGCTGGACAGAGATTGGCTGTACAGGAAGCCAAGGGCGCCCACCGATATGAGGCACTCAGGTGGGTTTTAAATTTAGCTTATAAACGAATATATAAAATTTATAAATAATTTTATACCTTTCCTCAGTCCAACCCATGCTGCCCGTTGGCAACAACGGCAGTAATGCCGGCCTGGCCAAGACGGAGCTGGACTGCTCGGCCCATGATAGTGGCCTGGACACGCCTCCTTCGACACACCGCCCTTCGAGCTATCGGGAGGCCAGCCGGGACAGCACCGAGACCAATGGCAGCTCCTCGCGGGGCACTCTCCTGAACAACTCATCCTCGCCGGCCGGCAGCTTCCGGGCCAAGAAGCTGAGCAGCCAGGTGACTAATCTCAACCAGCTGAACGCTCTGCATGGATCGCGATACTCGGTGCAGGACCAGCGCATTCTCAAGATGCGCAACAACGAGGAGGAGCGCTGTGCCTCGATCAAGATGGCCAATCGCTTGAACCAGAACCACGAGCAGCAGCAGGTGCCGCAGCAGGTGGCCTCCTATGATCCCAACCAGAATCGCTACTACAAGAATGGCAATGCCACGCCTCCGACATCACTGACACCGCAGCACACGCCGCAGCACAAGCTGATGATGATGCACCACGGCAATGGGAATGGCAATGGCGGCACTTTGAATGGCAACAGCAATGGCGGACAGGATAGGATGAACGGCTCGGCCATATTCCGGGAGCGGTATCAGCATCCAGCACTGGCTGCCATCATCAATGAGGCCCAGGGCCTGAAGTTCCGAGGTAAGTTGGATGCCTTATATGGCTTTGCCTGCATCACTCATCGCTCATCCGGCATGGTTATGGGTTGGTTATAAAAAAACTAATTGGTTTTTGGAGATTACTTTAATTTTTACTTAGTTTTTACATTTTATTTAATGTAATTAATCGTATTTTAAATAGAGATAATGGAATGTTTTAAGTTTGGCATCCTTTTTGGGATTTTTCTTTTGAATGAAAGGATAGGTATATTTTTGGAAACTCTGTAAACTTCTGTTATAGAAAAAGTTTAAAATTGTAAATCCGAAGAGAAATTAATATATTTTTTAATTTTAAATATGAATATTATAATTCGAATATTTTTTTTAAGAAGCTTAGACTTTTTGTTTTATTTTATAATTATAGATAATTTGATTTTATTTTTGAACTACATTAAAATGCATTAGGATAGCTTGCCAACGTTTTAGAATGTTAAATATTATTTTATTTATATTATTTTAATAAACCTTTTATTATATTTATTTATAATTTACCACTTATTAGTTGTAACTGTAAATAAACCCCAAAATAAAAAAAAAACCAACACCAACTTAACATCCTGCGTTCATTACATACATCATTATTTCCCTTCAATGCATAATGTATTTTTTCACAATTTTACTTTTGCATGTTAACAATTTAAAGAAGAGTCTGAAAATATGTGGTAAATCCAAAACTCCCCCAAAAAAAAGTAAACCAAACTGTGCATGTTACACAAAGACAACACCGCTGACTTGGCCACCATTGTGCATGACAAGATTTCGGAAATATAATGCAAAAAAAATATATATAAAATCTAAAGGAGACGCTCTCAACTACTCCCCAACTTGTAGAGCGCGCCTATTCCGACAGCCAGCAGCGGCGCCTCAATAATAACAATGGACCGACTCCGCAACCAGCCTCGCCCCTAGCCCAGCGCCGGAATAACGGAGGACTTGGGTCCGGAATGGGATCGGGAGTCGGATCGGGGGCCCTCTTTGGCACGCCCACGCGCGTATAGCGCCTAAAGGTCTAAGAATAATCCAAATTGCAGATCGGGAGAATGATATTAGCTTCTCAAACTAGTTTAAATTGGAAATAAGCGGTAAATTAGTCAACTTGATGGAAAGTTTTTGGAAATTATATGCATAGAAAATACTTCAACGAAGGTAGAGAATAATTATATATAGTAGTAGTACTCTTAGTGTGTGTGCTCCAATGTCCAGCTTTATGTAAATCTTTAAATAAAATATACATTAAAGAAATAATAAAACAAAGCGTGGGGTTTTTATTAAGGAAGAGATGGATTCTTGAAAGTGGAATTAATATACTCTGAGGCCCAATGATTGGTTTACTTTACAATAATCATTGGAAGATTAAGTAAGTATGGCATTGTTTTTGTATTTTTGTTATTTTGTTTCCTACAATTTTGATTTTCTGATAAATAAGTATTCGTAACCGCGTCAAGATTCTGAAGTCCATTCCCTATATCGTAATTTGTGTCATTCTAGTTAGGATTTAAGCCTAAATATTTATTAATTATTGTGTGATCTTGATTGAATAATATTTAAAAAGCTTTATTTATTGTTACTTGTAAAAATGGTAAAACTTTTATTAAAAGTTGTGGGTTGTATATAGAATATATTTTATAATTGCTTATAATTTTGGGGTTCATATATTTAATTTTTAATTTTTTATCAAATTAATGACCAATTTTATCAAGCTTTTTATCTAACTTGTTGCATCTTAATTAAACTTGTTAAAATATAAATACAAATTTTAAACAATATAAGTGTTATGGTTAACCTTATGATAAGATTATCCTTTCCATAAATAAATATAGCTTTAACCTTGGAAAAATGCATCCAGAAATAAAGCTTTGACCTGATTACTCCAAAACTCCGAAAATGCAAAGGATCAAGTTCAGCAAATTTACCGGAAAGCTTTCGGGATAATTGTCATTGGTCCTTGCAAAGAAAAGCTGTAAAAGCTTTAACTTGCGAAACTTTTCCGCAAATCCTTTAGAAAAGATGCAACACTGCGGAAAGCTTCTTCGTCATGAAGCTTCCATGGCGAGAGAGTGAGAGAGGACAAAGTGCAACCCTCACAGGACGAACCAGAGACCCCGTTGTGCGGGTGAGGGAGTGCGGGCTTTTCGGAGTCAACAATAAAATTTTCAGTCAGCTTTGAGACGCAGCAGCCACAGCAGCAGCAGCAGCCGCTGCAGGAAAAGCGGTCGGTCCACCACTGGAGCAGCATCAGGAGTAGAGAATTTTTGCCCACAGGATGCGTAGCCGCACCGAGCTGGTGACCACCACGTTTGTGGAAAGCGACGAGGAGGACTTCAGTCCGGACGATGACTCTGACTCGGAGGAGGACTGGCGGCCCACTAAAAAGCGTCCGACCAAAGCAGCTGGCTCTGATGGCGGCGGCAGGAAGCGGAAATCGGCGGCGGCCACGGCCTCAAAGGCCAAGCGCCGGATGGCCAAGGTGAGCGACGAGGATTCCGAGAATGACGATGACCTAGAAACAGATCCTAGCGACGACGACTTTGACTATCCATCGGCCAGCACCTCCTCGAAGAGGCCGCAAAGCCTGCCGCCGAAAAAGCAGTTCGTCAAGCTAAGCCAGCTGGATCTGTTGGTCAAGAAGTCCGATCTCATGGAAAAAGACTGGCTAAAGAACAATCGTTTGTGTTTATGGCGCAAGGATGATCAGACGACCCTCCTGCAGAAGTATCTGCGGGTCAAGTCTGGAGCCGAGGAGGAAGAACTGCTTTTTACCTCTAGTTCAGTGGTAAGTCAGTCAAGTGTGAAATTTACTTTAAATAGATTATTTTAAAGCTCAGGAATATCTTTATTTTATTAAGATTTATCCAGATTTTTTGTGTTAATATAAGTAATCCTGTTATACTAAAAAATATATAAAAATTCCTCTGAAATCCTTATTTCCTTCTCTTCCCACAGTATTCCAGTTGGGATGAGCAGCAGACCAGCGATTTCATAGAGGTCAAAGTCAATTGCTTGGATCCCAATAATAGACGCATTAAGCTACAGGATCTAGAGGCCGTTAAGAAGATCTCCGAAGAGCTGCAATTGGAAAGAGATACAAGCGCAGCATCCGACAAAGAAGACGATGCCGAGGAAGACGAGGACGAAAAGCCAAATGATGCTGATTAAACTATTAAATATACAAACCGAATTAACATTTTCCCTAGCAATTAAAAACTAAACTAGTTGGCCAAGTTAGCGTTAGACACAAATCAATTTCCTTGTAACAGCAGCCATGTGAACACCACTTTAAATTTAATTTAGTAAATTAAAGAAAACAGAAACAGCCGTAAAAATCAAAAGAATTTATAACTTTGGCGTTTCAATTGCAAAAAATACAAAGTTGTATACAAATCGGTTTAATAGAGAAGACTGAAAAATTTTGCATCTTTCGGGAAACGGCTACCGGCGCCGCTCGCCCTTCACAGTCTTGCGCTTCTCCTTCTTCTCCTCGCGCAACTGCCTTTGCTTCTCTCGGTCGTCCCTGTCCTTCTGCTTCTTGGCCGCACTATCCAGGCGGGCCTGCTCCCGTTTCTCCTTGGCCAAAGCCTGGACATCGGATTTATTGGTGTTCTTGGCAAGGGCTCCGCTATCGTCATCGCTTTCCGAATCGGAATCATCGTTGTCCTTGTTCACCACAGCGGTCTAGAGAGAAGAAAAGAGATGTGATAGCATTAGATGGAAGATGGAGCTTAACTAGGTTGCTTTGGCAAGTGATTGGAGGACAAGGTGCCTTAAGTGCCTTATATCATCCAAATTCTTTAAGCAAAGCGAACTGGCTAAGCTGGATTTCTCCGATAGTAACCTGCGAATACTGGGCTAGTATCTGTTGCTTGATGCGTCGCTCCTCCTCGGTGTACTCGCGTTCCTTGTTGACGGCAGGTTGGAGCTTCTGATTCTCCAGCAGCTTAGCCAGCTGGGCGTTCACATCGATGTCTAGGCCTTTTTTGGGCGGCTCATCGGCGCTGACATGGCTGCATAGCCATTTCTGCAGAATGGTGGCCACCAGTTCGTTGATATCAGCAGACTGTGGAAGGAATAAGGATACACTGAATGAGAGGATATTCTGGAAGTGCCCTACTTACCCCCGTCTCGCTGAGGATTCCTTCAAGGGCCTCCGTCTTCTCCTCCGTCGTCTCATCGCCCTCGAGTATGCCGACGATGTACGATCCGAAGACGTTCTCGTCCGTATTGAGTTTACGCAGCTGGTCGTTCAGCCAGCCCTGAAACTCCTCGCTGGCACTCATGGCTACTTATAATTTAGTTATTTAGTATAAATGGATGGGTTTGACTGGCGAGTTGAGCGGGCAGTGACAAATCAACCGCAAAAGGCAACAAAATTTAATTCGAGATGAGCATGTGGCGCAGTGTTGGTAAATGCCGGAGATAACAGCTGCTCTAGAGGTGGACACACATCGATGAAAACATAGATGCATCGATGTTTTACAACATTTTGGAAATATCGATATTAGTTAGTAACTTTCGATGTATTTCATCATCAATAAAATATATTTATGAACCGAATTAATAGTTGTACTTTAAAGTTATAAGACATAAACGACGTGGATGTGTGGCAATGGGGAACTTCCTTAACTGTAAGTCAACTGTATTCATAAAAGTAACACCTCTTAGCTCTTGCAAATTCTAGGAACTGGAGAAAATTCCGAGTTATTTGAACTGCAACCAAAAGGATGAATCCGATTTCCAATTAGTTTTACTTTAAAACATCGATGTCCGATAACACCAATGTTTCCCCATCTCTACTTTCCTCCCGCTCAGCTGTTCGTGTCAGTGTTGTAAAATACCCGTGTGTCTTTTAGTTGTTTGCCGACCTTACGCTTTTGTTACAAACGAAATATTAACTTTTGTGTTTGTTAAAAACTCTGTCAAGTGCAATAATTGCGTTCTTTGGTCCCCCCTTAAGTGTGTGTAGTTTCGTGAACAACATTTGAGCCCTACGGCAGTCGCATTTCAAGCCAAACTAAAATTATAAACAAATTGTTTCTTCGCTGTCCGTTTGTTTCTTGTGCGAGTTGATGCCATTTTTTACGGGCTTGTGCGTAATTGTGTGTGAAGCTCCAGTGTCCAAAGGTATTGGTGATTCTTTGAGTAATAATTTGCAGCATAGAAACAAAAACAAAAGCTAAATAACCATAACAATTTCAATTACAATAATAAGCGCAACAACAACGTCACACGCCTGCGACACCTGCGTCACTTGTTGTTGCTGTCGTCGCCTTCGGCTTTTGTTTATTTGTTGCTGGGCGTCGCGTCGGCAGACGCGTTATAAACAAAAAAGGAAGAAAAAGATACAAGAAGCAAAGATACGAGAAAAGAGTGACGAAGTTTAAATACCCTTTCTTTTTGAAAAACTAAAAACTGAACTTTAATTGAAGAAATTAGCAAAAATTTTATTTAAAATTTTCAAGTAATTAAAATTTGAAGAATTGGTAAAAACAAAAAATAACAATGCATTTTAAATCGATAAATAATAATAAAATAAATAATAAAGAATAAATGTAGCCTAATAAATTGTAATGTCGTTGCTCTTTCTCTCAAATGATGTATCTTTATAGCACCACATAAATGCTTAATTTTCTGGTTAAATTGAAAATAGTAATATCCTCTGTTAGGGTATAAATATACAACAAGAAAATATAAGAAGAGAAATACATACACACAGGCGTGTGCCGTTGGCAACAAGTGGAATATATACAAACAAAATTCATACACCTCTATGCTTGTGTGTGCGGAAAGTGTAATCATAAGACGTCAAAGAAAACCCTAAAACAAGAACAAAAAACCTAGGAAACTTAATGGCAGCGAAAATAAATTGCAGCTAAGATTCAATTTTCTTCGGTAAGTTTGGTTTGAGTTTTTATAAATATATATTTTTCTATAAATATAATATAAGATTAAATAAACTTGCTATTATATAATAAAATTTAAAAAAATCCTATAGTCGCCTGGACAATAAGAGAGCAATTATCCAATAATTACACCTTCTTTATATCTTTTGGCATTGATAAAAAATTTACAATATTTTATTGGTAACTTTTAAACATATTTTTAACAGATTTCGTTGGCCTTCTTGTCCTAGATTTATTATTTTATAAATTGTTTTATAATTTATAGCATATATACCAACAATAAACTTAAATCTTCAATAAATAATATTCATATTCCTTACATTATTTGTGATATTAATAAAACAGCGGAAAAAGCCCTACCAACTTTGTTTATAAATGTTCTATTCGGCTTTCGACTTAGGTGCTTTCAAATAAAAACAGTGTACATAAAATTCAAATGCTTTATATCTCTTAAATAAAATTTATGCAAATGGAAATAAGAATAACAAACAACTTAAATGATTTATTTACCTTAGCATATCTTATTTAACAAAGGTTATATTATTCAATAAAATATGTAATGTTTATAATAGAATCTTTGCCATCGCAGTCTTCTATCCTGCATAACCTTGACGTTGTCCCCCCGAATAGTCCCCAGCTTCTAGCCACCCACAAGCCACGCACCGCTTGTTGACTGTTTTTTTAATGGGCCACAACGTTGCAGGGATTGTTTATGTGGCTTGTAAATGTAAATGTGAGTGTTTTACACTTTCCAATCTGTGTGCATATTCATGTGAGCTTCGCCACGACTCCCCACGCTCGTCTATGTGTGTGTTTGTGTATGCATAATAAAGGCCATTAAAATTAAGTAATTGACGCAAGTAGACGCGACACCCGTTAAGGGGAAGACGGTGTTGTTAACTGATTCAACCGTTTTCTGTCGCAGAAAGGAAGGAAGGAAGGAAGGCAAGGAAAAGGTGAAATGAAAACCGGAAAATGCACACAGCAATATATGTATATTTCTCTCTGGCAGCAACAAAATATATTTACAAAAAAATGTATATTGCAGCACGATCTACCTTTTCGCTCTTGACGCTGCCGGTTTCGTCATTAAATTGGAGATCCATTTAAATTTCAGCAAGCTCATAAAATTCACACGATTCATTGCTTGTTCTTTTAAAGTCCCAAAACCGTGGTGCATAATACACATTTAATAAAACTTAAGGACAAAATAATAATAATAATAAGTTTACAAGAAAAACTGATGATGAATCTTGAATAAATTTAATGTAATTGAATATTAGGAATATAAATAGGTTTTTTGTTGTTTGATTCTTCATCCTAATAGGAAATAATTTCCCTATATTATCCTCTTTTTTTTTTTTTGCACCATCCCAACATCTTAACTTTTTAAAAAGCCTCATAACCACTGTCCTTATTTGCCATCTGACTTGGTGTCTTTGCGTTTTAACTGCTGCTCCTTCCAACAGCCATTTGCCAGTCGGCACGCCCTCATCCATAAAGTTTTCCTGGCTCTCTTCCTGGCCGTGTTTTTATGGCGGCTTTGCTTGATGGCTTTTGGCCTTGCCAGCTGCACATCACACCAAAATCTTGGCTCTAATTGTGGGAAAGGAGCAAATTGATTTCCATATCATAAACCCGGCCCGTGCTTTGCGGCCAACCAATCAAATGGAAAACGCAACAAGTCAGAAACAGAAACAAAATAACTTGACATTGAGCGGTCTGTGTGTGTGTGTGTGAGTGGGAGTCCTTTAAAGAGGGGGGTTTGCATTTCACATAACGAAATAAATCCACCAATGGGTGGGCGCATTCATTTCAAGAATGCCACGGGGCGCTTCAAGTACTTTCCTTCTTCCCAGCTGTGCCTGGAATTTTCCGGGACCACCCACTGAGTTGGTTGGATGGAACGTGGCTGTGATCTCCATAATACCAATCCTTATTACAATGACGTTGAAACAGTGTTGCGGTAACTGAAAACATATGTTATCTTTGGGGTTTTCCAATGCAGAATTTGCTACATAAACAGTGGTTTCAGGTGGATTAAAGGTTTATTTATTTTGTATTTAAAATTTAAAAATATACTTTCAAGTCCTAGTAAAAAGATAAGTTTACAATTAAAATTTTATTTATTTAAATTTAATTTTTAATTTAAAAACATACAATTAACTCTAGTTCCTAATCATTTCACCCCAAATTCTGTGAAAAGCTCAATTAAGGAAACTTAAGGCTTGCAGAAACTCCTCATATGAAATTCCATTTCATGACTTGGCCCCCAGATACCGCTTGTTGTAGCTAAGTAGCTCCCTGTGGCTTGGAATGGAAGGATTTCGAAACTCAACCCATTCACGCTGAAAGCGGAGGAAGGACTCTGCCTCGGCATACCGTAATGTGATTGAAAAGGCTTCGTCGGTTGGCTGCCAGTAGGGATGCCAGGCGGCTCCATGGGCGGTTGATGGATTCCATTCATGGCGCTTCGTATCCACTTAACTATTTCGATGAATTGAGGGAGAAGCTGTTGCTGCTGCTGCCGCTGCCGCTGCCGTTACTGCCTCTGACATTTTCATTTTGCTACAGTTGGCTAGAGTTTTCCAGCTTTTTTTGTTGCTGTATCATTGCCATGTCGTTGACAAATTGTCTGGCGGAAGAATGGGGAAGAGTGCTGGTCGAGATCTCTGGCTCTGGGTAACTGGAAGCTCGAAGCGACCCTTAATGTGTGTCAATAAATGTGTGTTAAAAATACCGCTAGGCAGAGGCAGTTAAGAGAGGGGTCATGGTGATATATGGGCCGGGAGAACGACGACTCCTGTTGCGCCCCCCGAATCACAGGCGGTGGTCGCCTCGCAGAAATTCTCCGCTGCTCACAAACAATTTTCAATTAAGCGCACAATCACGATAAATAAATCTCATTGTGCGAAAAGCCAGTTTCATCTACACGACAAGCTTAGCTTAACTTGGCTTTTCTCTTGTAAACCCAATGTACAGCCATTTTCTGCGGTTTTTCATGCCATTTTCAGTGGGCAGGCGGGCAGGCTGGGCGGGAAACTGCACAATAAAACTCCACCCAGGTAGCGACTTCATTGCAATCTTCGGTGGCTTTTCCTCCGGCGTTGCTAACACGCTTTTGCTTCTAGCTGCCAGCTAATGCTCTTCACACACAAGCGACGGGGTTATTCGGCATTATCCGGGGGAGTTGGCCAACATGAATCATACAATTAATTACCGGGTTATGGTGTGAATCGCACATAAATTAATTATATATATCACGAAGCGCTTAAGCCGTTGCCATAGCCAAGAGCTTATGATTCGACATTGTTCGCAGATTCCAAAAATAAGAAAGGTGAACGGAATTAAATTAAAGGAAAGTCATTAAGTGACTTAATTGCAGGGAGCAAATCAGTGGAAATGTATAAAATAATATTTAAGTTTCTCTAATTAAAGTGGTACTTGTGGGTAAATTAAGAAAACTGTTTAGGATTTTGAGCTGAAAAAGACTTTCCTGGTACAAAATAAAAGAAGA